CCCCCCCAAAAATAAAAATTTTAAAAAGGCAAAGAAATGGCTGTTATTATTCTAAACAAGGTGTCCATTAAAGAACATTCTGATAATGGCATTTGGCCATGGCTTGAAGGATATAGGCAGCCAAGAAGTCCCTGTAGGAGGAAAGTTTATAGGGTTGGACCAAGAAAGACATGGTCATGTTTGTCCTTTAAACCTATTGCAAGAATTAAGGTTTTATTTTGTAAAGAAGCATGCATTGAGAGGTTTGGAAAGGGAAGTGACATGATTTTACCTGGGAAAGATTAGTCATTCTGGCTACTATTTAAAGATTAGACCACATATGAACAAGGAAAGTAGGGAGATCATTTAGAGACAACTACGAGACACCAAGGGTGAAGGGATGGTAGCTGGATCAACTATGAACATTTAGTTGGGAGAGAGAAACAGATTTTTTTATCCTTTGATTTGATGATGAATGTTAGGAGGGACGGAAGAGAAAGTGGTTAAGATTGGCCTCCAGGTTGGTATTCTGAGGAACTAGGATAATGGAGCTGTTGTGAACCAAGATGACCACTGGGGACAGCAAATGCGAGTCCATCTGGATTTGCTGAGTAGGTGGATAGAGGTACCAGTCAGTTCCTGGAGGTGGTGTGATATATAGATGCAACTCTGGTGTCCCAAGTAGAGAGAGAATATCATCAGATACGAGACTGGTTGAGGTTCCTGATGTTAGTGAGTGTACATAGAAAAGAAGTGAGACCAGAGGTTTGAGCCTTGGGCTCACATTCGTAATGTGCTCATGTTCCCCCTTTCCTGTCTCCCCTCTTGCCCTTTTCTGGCTACTCCTTCCACCTCCCCAGGCTTTTTCTTATCTCTTTTTGGCACTTAAAAAAAGTGTTTATTCATTTATTTGTGAAAGAGAGAGAACACGAGCAGGGGAGAGGCTGAGAGAGGGAGACAGAGTCCTAAGTAGGCTGATGGCAGAGCAGGCCCAATGCAGGGCTCAGACCCACAAACTGAGATCATGACCTGAGCCAGAATGAAGAGTTGGTCGCCAGCCAACAGAGCCACGTAGGCGCCCCTGGCACTTTATCTACTTTCGTGTTGGATTGTTTTAACCTGGCTCTCCCCAGGAGAGGCTTGTCCTCATGTGTACTGTCCGTCTCAACTTAGGTATCACCTGCACAAAGTGCCTGCCCACACCCAGAATACAGAAAGGAGCGTGTTTCCCTTCCTTCCAGTTTAAACATTTACCCAGCTGCTTTCTCAAGTCAACTTTTATTCCCTTCTGTCTCTGTCCTCTCCCTCATTAGTTTCAGTGATACATTTAGAGCAACAGGAGAACAAGAAGCATATACTTTGTTAGTAGGTCACTGGGTGTAGTAGTGAGTGAGTTGTGCCGTTATCATTTCATAAGAGGAATTGAATATATTTCAGGATATGGAGTAAAAAAATGATACGGATAAAACTGTGGCTCACTGGGTTGGATACAATTACGGATAATTTAAGCAGAAAAGATTATTTTCTGAGGGAACTGGAGCCTGGCTTACCCTTGTCCACCTGCTTCAGAGTGGCCAACATCCATTCCTCCTCTATGTTCATTGCCATGAACCTATCCGGAGTCTTTTCTCTCCTGTCCCTGACCTAAAATTCTGAAACTAACAAAACCGACTTCAACGCTTCGGGGTACATTCCTTTAAAAAGCAATAGCATGATGTTTATTAGCTTCCAGCTGCGGAGTGAACACCTTTTGTACCAAGTGACGACGGAATGAGATGTCCATTTGGATTTGTCTCTTTGGGGGCATCTGAAGTAATATTTCTAGCCTCCGAAGCAAGCTCAGCTTCATTGGGTCTAACATGTTTCTAAACACTCTGGCGACCAGTTCCAACAACGAACCCAGAAGTATGGGTGTTGCCCTTCCTCAAGGAGTGGAGCCCAGCCCCGCGGTGGCGAGGCCACTTCCCAGCGACCCTCGCGCTGCCGCCGCACTTGGCCGGGAGGTAGCTGTGGAGACACCCTTCGCGGAGCCCACGGAGCTGCAGAAATTACACTCTCCAGAATGCTCTTCCGGCGCGCCGGGCTGCGCCGAGCCTAGGAAGGCTCAGGAGAGGGCACTTCCGGGAAAGCACGTGATGCCGGGGCGGGACTTCCGGCGTCCTCTTCTTGGCGGTCATTTCGGTTTCTCGGAACTTATATCGGTGTAGAGGTGCTGAAGCACTGGTTTGGGAGCGAGGTGATGGGACCGAGAAAGCGCAAGGGGAGGCGATGTCCCCGCCGCGCAGACTGGCGTCCGCGACTCGCCGGGCTGACCCGGGCTGCCTCGCCCCGAGGTCGGGACAGGGACCGCCGGCCCGGGTGTCCGCCCCGCCCACAGAGTCCGCGCAGGGACCCGGCTGAGGTAAACGCGCGGCCCCCGGACCCTCCCCGCCCTCCCCCACCCAGACCCTTCAGGCCCGAGCGCGGGGCGCCTGCTCGCGTCTCTGCAGCCCGGGTCCCCATGTCCGGGCCCGGGAGGCGCTCGCGGGCGGGGACCCCGCGTCTGAGCGCCGGCGTGACGGCGTGCGGGAGCGGGCTGCAGGGGGCGCCGAGGGGGAGGAATCGGGGGCTGTGGGGTCCGCCCTCTGCCCTCGGGAAACAGAGGATGTGCGGCGGGGGCACTGGCGGGCTGGAGGGGTTGTCCCTTCATGTGAGGACTCTAGATGCGAAAGAGAGTTTTGGCCAAAGGAGGAACACGATCTCTGGGATTTAAAAATTTCCCAAAGGTTGGGGCGCCTGGGTGGCTCAGTTGGTTAAACCTCTGACTTCGACTCAGGTCATGATCTCACCTTTCCTGGGTTCAAGCTGACAGCTCAGAGCCTGGAGCCTGCTTCGGATTCTGTCTCTCTCTGCCCATCCCCCGATCGCTTGCGCGCGCTCTGTCTGTCAAAAACAAACATTAAAAGATAATAATAACAATAATAACAACAATAATAAGTAAAAGTTTCCTAAAGGTTGCTCTTAAAGAGAATAGATTGGAAGGGGGTTGATGAGGACAGTGGGGCGCCGGGAGGTTTCATCTTGAGCAAGGTCACACCCCTGGTAAGAGTCTCACTCAGGCACAAGGGTTTGACAGCTGAGGTCACCTGGCCCTTGAGCGGGGCAGGGGTACAGGGTGATCTGAGCCCATGGAGTCTGGCCATGGTTACCTTCCTCTAAGGCCTGCCTCTCTTCACAGGTTTCTGTGGCTGAAGAACTGCTCATGAGGCCAACACAGGTCAGTGGAGGGAGTCTCTGTCCTGGGGTTAAGGTGTCCTGGGACTCTGCCTGCCATTCTTCCAGGTCTTGGGTCTAGGGGACCTTAGAGAAACCCTGAACATGGCGTCCTGAGGGGTTCTTGTTTCTGGCAACCAGTTGAAAGAGGTGTGGAAAGTTATCCTAGGAACAGGTACTAATACGTGCAAATACTTGGAGGCGTAATTTAGCTGGGAACGTCCAGGGAACTGAAGGTTTCCTTTTTTTCCCTCATGGAAGCAAGGGGACAGGAGGCAGGACTGGAATGGTTGCCTTTGAGGTCAGGTGTCTATTCTGGAGGCGATAGGAGGTTGATGAAGAGCAAAGTGATCTTGGGGCGCCTGGGTGGCTCAGTTGGTTAAGCGTCTGACTTTGGTTCAGGTCATGATCTGGCAGTTTGTTTGAGCCCTGTGTCAGGCTCTGTGCTGACAGCTCAGAACCCAGCACCTGCTTCGGATTCTGTGTCTCCCTCTCTCTCTGCCCTTCCCTGATTCACTCTCTGTCTCTGTCTCTCTCTCTCAAAAATAAACGAAAAAAAAAATAGCCATTCTGAAATGGGCCAGGGCTACTGCTTTAAAAAAAAAAAAAAAAGTCAGGTGATCTTATCCAGGTCTTAACAGGCTTCATCTGGCTGCACAGTGGAGGACGGATGCTGGGATAAGGGAGGGAGAAGGATGACCCAGAAGAATGCTACTGTAATAGGCTGGCTAGTTGAGTGTTATCAGATGTAAACAGTGGCCCTCGAGGTGGGAGAAATGGTTGGATTCTGGATTCATTTTTTTTAAAGTAGGGCCAAACTAGACTTTCGGTTGTGAAAAGTGAAGGAGAGAAAGGAAGGAATCAGGGATGACCCTAAAGTTTTTGGTCTCAGCAGCTGGAAGGCTGGAAGCTCCGTCAATGGAGATGAAGTGGTCAGTGGTGGAAACAGTGTTCAGTGGGGATATCAAGAGGTTTGTTTCAGCCGTATGCAGCCTGAGATGTTTCAGAGACCGCTGAGTAGAGGCATTAAGTGGGCAGTTGCACGCACGCTTTGGTGGTGGGGGGCAGGTATCAGGCTGGAGCTATCCCGCAGGTGATTGCTGCTGTGTCAGCCTAGGCGGAGCTGTGGTTTACACTGAGGAGGGGGGATTTTCAAGTCTCAGTGGTGGTACTCTTAACCGTCCAAGAGGATGGTGTGGGCCAAGAACTGGGTCTCTTGCTTGGGCACCTTGTTGAAGGTAGTCGGTGTTGGGGACACAGGGGAGGGAGAAAAGTGGCCATGAGGAGGGTGTGGGCAAGAAGGATGATCTGGCAGGTTACCAAGGTTTCCAAGAGAGAAGTGGACATGAGAAGCATGTGGAGGCACAGGAGTAATTGAGGCTGGAACTGGTGCTTTTTCACCTTTCTGTGGATTCCCCAGGATTTCGTGTTGACCCTTGGGTGGGACATGAGATGTTTCAGTCAGGATGGTAGGTTATTTCAGAGTCCACTGTGGTCATCTGTGATTTATTAGGCCTAGGGTAGAAGAGCACTGGGGCTGGGTTTTGAATAAGGTTTAGGTGTGACTGGAGGGGACAGGATGGACAGCACACAAGGGGATATCTGAGATGTGGGTGTGGTTCTGGTTGGTGAGGTTGAAGCAAAGAACAGAGCTAGCTTTCTCCCTATGAAGGGGAGGCTTTCCCAGCAGGATTCTGGACTGTGCTTAATAGTAGAAGCCATCAGAGATTGAGCAGTTCTGGATCCTACTTGAGTTTGCTCAGCAAGCAGTGTCTTGTGATGCCTTGTGCCAAGTGACGAGGGGAGAGTCCAGGGGGAAGCCTGTGCTGTGGGGCGGGGAGGTAGTTGTGGTGGTGGAGGGAACGCATCTGTGGGCTCCAGAGATGTAAAAGAGGTGCAGTCTACAGAGTAATGTGCCTGTGAAGAGGGAGTGTGAACTAATGGCCCCAGGGTCCTGATATTGAGGACTTAAGGTTGAAGGGAACGCCCAGATTTGGTTGTCTGGGATGCACAGTCTAGAGGACAACAGGGGTATTGGCAGGAGGAGTGGGGCCCTGTGTGCCAGGCCCAGAGTTTAGATGGTGTTTATCTGATGATCTGCTGTGGTTGCTGAGGGCTGAACAGCAATTAGGGACCATGAGGAGAGAGCACCAGTGGTGCCCATGGGGTAGGGTTTTTTAAGTTTTTTTTGTTTGTTTATTTTTGAGAGAGAGAGAGACAGCGTGTGAGTGGGGGAGGGGCAGAGAGAGGGAGACACAGAATCTGAAGCAGGTTCCAGGCTCCGAGCTGTCAGCACAGAAGCCAACATGGGGCTCAAACTCACAAACCATGAGGTCACGACCTGAGCCGAAGTCAGACACTTAACCGATTGAGCCACCTAGGCGCCCCTAATGGGGTGGTTTTGTTGGGGGAAGAGACTGTGGATCTTTGGGAGAGGGGCTATTTGTGGTTTCATCTGTCTCCATCCTGACAGGACAGTGTGACATTTGAAGACGTGGCCATGTACTTCTCTTGGGAGGAATGGGGTCTCCTCGATGAGGCTCAGAGATGGCTATTCCACAATGTGATGCTGGAGAACTTTGCACTTGTGACCTCCCTGGGTAAGGCCCTCATTCCTACCCCAGGGACCTGGGCTAAGCTCTGCTTTTCTGTTTTTATCCCAGGGGTAGCTGGGTACTTGTCCCATCAGAAACATGGATGCTGCTTCCTTCCCCATTTCTCGGTTACCTGTTGTTAGGGTTGGGCTGAGTGCACTGCCCCAGGGCCTCACTGGGAAGGATTCACGTGACCAGTAGTCTTGCAGTTATGCTACTGGTTTCCACCTTGCTTGCCCTTTCACTGTCTGGCTGACTCTGTCCAAATCCACACCACCTTCCTGCCCCAGGTTTTGCCCACTTCCTGTAAGTGAGGACATTCCCTTGTCCCTGCCTGTGCCAGGAACTGTGGACACTGCCATGGTCAGTTCTCTCGGGGACTATGGCAGTTCTTGCAGGGTCCTCCTCTGAGGATTGTTTTGGTAGTACTAATTTTCTTTCCTGTGGTCTCCTATGTGTTTAGTTGCTCTGGGCCTGTGCGGACCACTCATCTATCCTGCCTTTCCCTTAGGACTTGAATTGTGCAGGTCCTATTTAGTTCCTGAACCCCAGGTTGGGGAGGAGAGGCCTGGGTGCTTCGCAGGATCAACGTGACTCCAGCCATGACAAGATGGGCTGATCAGGGCTGTGTTCAGATGATACCAGAAACCTGTCCTATTCCGCTCAAGTCCTGGTGCCACTGGCCACCTCATTTCTACTTCCTTCCCCATTCTTGACACTTGCTGAGTTGTCATTTCTGCTCTGAATTTGGTTCATTCCCCCTTCTCTGAGCCCCTCTCTTATTGCTTCCCTTGCAGCACTCTGTCACGTCGGCCTGTACATACCATATCGTGGGGTGTGCACGTATCCTCATGTGGTTCTTAAACACCAGCTGTCTTACACTTGGTTTTCCTGGGCCCAGGTGCGCCTTTCTGCACAGTTACGGGCAAGGATTTACCGAGAGCCATTAGCAGAGGAGTGAGCTGTGGATCCTACTGCTCCTCCCTGTGCCACGCCCCCACCATGTGTTCTTCACCTGGTGAGGCCTCCCCACTGTGTGACCCTTAGAAGCAGCTTCTTGACCCTGACCCCAACTCCTTTGTCCCAGAAACAGTGCCATCAACTCATCCACTGGTGTATTGGACACACGTTAATGATGGTGCTGCCTCTTCCCACTACTGCATCTGTGTGCTTCACTAGAATTTCTCTGCTTGCAGGTTGTTGGCATGGAGCAGGGGATGGGGAGGCACCTTCTGAGCAGAGCGCTTTTGTAGGAGCGTCGCAGGTTAGGACTCACCAGGCAAGCCCAGATCCCCAGAAGGCACACCCCTGTGAGATATGCGGTCTGGTCCTGAAAGACATTTTGGGTGTGGCTCTGCATCAGAGAACACATCCCCAGCTGAGACCTGACACATGTGGGAGACGGACCAGTTTCATTGCAAACCTTCACCAGCACGGGAAGCAGCACAGTGTAGAGAAACCCCTGAAAAGGGCTTCACTTGTGAAGAGCTGCAGGTTCCATGTGCCAGGGGAGTCCTTCACCTGTGGGGAGGTTGACAAGGACTTCCTCACTGGTTCAGGCGAGCACCAGCACCAGGCCAGTCGTGATGGACAGAAAGCTCACAGTAGCACCATGTGTGGGGAAGCTGTTCACAGTGGGAAAAGCCATCACAATTGGTGTGAAGGCAAGAAAGCCTTCAGCCACAAATACTCTCTTGCTCAACACCAGAGTGTCCATGCCCAAGAAAAGCCTTACAAATGCAGTGAATGTGGGAAGTCCTTCACCCGAAGGTTTAACCTCTTGCAGCATCAGAAAGTCCACACTGGAGAAATGCCCTATAAATGTAATGAATGTGGAAAATTCTTCACCAATATCTTCGGTTTCATTCAGCACCAAAGAACTCACACTGGGGAAAAGCCTTACAAGTGCAGCAGATGTGGAAAATTCTTTGGCCAAAAGTCTACCCTTACTGTACATGAGAGAATTCACACTGGAGAAAAGCCTTATGGGTGCAGTGAATGTGGGAAATTCTTTAGACATAGCTCCAGCCTCATTAAACATCAGAGAGTTCACACTGGAATGAGGCCTTATAAGTGTGGTGAATGTGGAAAATGTTTTGCTGACAACTCCTGCCTCATTAAACACCGTAGAATTCACACTGGAGAAAGGCCTTATGAGTGCAAGGAGTGTGGGAAACTTTTTAGCCAAAGTTTTGGACTCACTCAACACCAGAGAGTTCACACTAGAGAAAGACGTTATGAGTGCAGGATATGTGGGAAATCCTTAACCCGCAAGTCCTACCTCATTCAACACAACAGAGTTCACGCTAGAGACAGGGCTCCCGAGTGCAGGGATCATGGGGAATTCTTCAGTGACACCCGGTTTGCTCAACACCAAAAAATTCACATCCGAGAACGGCCTCATGAGTGCGACAAATGCGCAGAAGATTTCAGCCGAAGGCCTAACCTCATTCACCACCACACAGGAAGTCTATACATGCAGCAAATGTGGGAAAGTCTTCAGTCAGCGGCCTGCTCTGATTGAGCACCAGAATGTTCACAGTGCAGGTGGGCTTTATGAGTGCACTGAATGTGAGAAAGCCTTCAGCCAGAGATGTGACCTCATTTGACACAAAAAAGTCCACACTGAAGAAAGACCTCATTGAGTGCAGTGAATGTGGGAAAGCCTTCAGCCAAAAGTCTCCCCTCATCAGGCACCAGGAAGTTCACACAGAGCAAAGCCATGGCCGTGTAGGGAACAAGCTGTTTACCTGTTTGATATAAAGACATTGGAGGAGAGCCTTCATGAAGGAGACATCTTCCTGAAGTTGAACTCCTGCATCTTAAAACACCACAGGGAAGATTCCCTGTATATTCCAGGTATGTGGGAAGCTTCCAGGAGCCACTCTTCCTAACCTGGGTGGGGCCCTTGCTGAGATTGTGTCACTGCCAGTTTCTGTGGTGTAAGTCCTCTGAACTCTACTGTCTGAAATGCCCAGGCTCCCGTGGTATTTACGGAAGTAGACCTCTGATTTCTCTGGAGAAAATGAGCAACTTGAGCCTTTAGGGGGACATCATTACCTTCTCTTTAATTCGTCACATTCTTGACCCAGTTTTCTCCCAAAAGACCTTATTTGTTCTGTTGGTGACTTGAAGAGGAAATTTGTCTTCATGGACATTGTTTTCATGACACTTGTGATGGATTTTCCAGTCTCCATGTCACCAACCTGTACACGGGTTCACCTTGCTATGGTTTGTGCAGTAAAAAAGGCCTTATTGTTCAAGCCACCTTTTGTCTTGGGGATTGTATTCACTAACAGGTGCTTTGAAAACACGCAGGGGTGAACAGCTTGTGTGGGAGTCCCAAACTTTGGTGCGCCTCAGAAGAGACCATGTAATGGCAGAGGACGGCTCTTCAGTTCGGGCCTAGTTCGCACTGTTGCCCGTGGCCTCCAAGGAAAGACTGTAGGCTTTGTACAACTGATTGGCAGCCTGAATGCCAAGGTCTTTTTGCAGGCCCAGAGGTCACGCTGACGAGCAGGCACTGGTGACAGTATCCGGTGCTTCCGGGACTAGTTTCTTTGCTTATGGCGCATATTCTGTGATGACCGCATGGTGAAGAGGAGTTGTCTTCCCCAGGTCTTTCAGAGGAGCCACGTGCCCTGATGTCTAGAGTTTTGTAAAGTAGTGTCACTGATCTTAAAGCTGTAGGGCCCAGGGAATACCGTCATTGTGCACAGACATTGCGTTGACAGGGAGAGGTAGAGCCTGCAGCAAACAGGTGGACCGTGCCTCTTCTAAAAGTGTACCCATAGCTACTGCAGTGACTGTGGCTTGGCTGTGTTGGGTGGGCACGTACCTTCGGGCCTGTGTGTCTTGAGTAGCTGAGGTCATTTGCATAGAAAATAAAGGTTTTGTGGATTCTTGTGGCTTTCTGGGCTGTTGACCTTAGAAGACTTACTACACATGCAGGAGAACAAGCATAGGGACGGGAGATCTCACAGTCCAGTGGTACGGCCTCTGTGACTAAGGCGGAAACATCCTTCATTGCTCAACAGTATTTGCTATTCCTGAGGTAAGGCATTCCTCCTAAAGCCTTAGCAGAGAATGATGGATGGGGCGCCTGGGTGGCTCAGTCAGTTAAGCATCTGACACTTGATTTCAGCTCAGGTTATGATCTCACAGTTCATGAGTTTGAGCACCATGTCGGGCTCTGCTGTAACAGCGCAAAGCCTGCTTGGGATTCTCTCTTTCTCTCTCTCTCTGCCTTTCCCCCATGGTTGCTCGCTCTCTCAAATATAACATTAAAAAAAAAAAAAGAGGAGGTGATGGAGATAGTAGAGGGTTGACAAACCTGATTTTTTATGAAGAGGGGGAGATCCGTACTTTATTTTGAATGATTGCTTAACCATTAAGTTATTGCACATGAAGTAAATTGCACGTATTTAAAGTGTATAAATTGGTATTTTGTATAAACAAGTTTTTGACGGGGCACCTGAGTGGCTCAGTCGGTTAAGCCTCCGGCTTCCGCTCAGGTCACGATCTCATGGTTCATGAGTTCGAGCTCCGCGTCAGGCTCTGTGCTGACAGCTCAGAGCCTGGAGCCTGCTTCAAATTCTGTGTCTCCCTCACTCTCTGCGCCTCCCCTGCTCATGCTCTGTCTCTCTTTCTCTCTCCAGAATAAATAAACATTAAAAAAAATAATAAATAAATAAAAAGTAAATAAATAAGTTTTTGACAAGTATAATCCATGAAATCATCGTAATTGTAATAATAAACATAAGTCCCACACATATTTAACTCCTGCTTGTTATTAATCTCTTCCCCGCCCTCTCTGGCTCTCTGGGCAAACCTGAATTTACTTTCCTTTACAATAGACTACATTTTCTAGAATTCTAGATGATTGGGATTTTTCTGGTTTCATATATGCTGCATAATTAGAGATTCAAAAAAATAGTTTGTTCTTTCACTGCTGAGTAGTATTTTCTGGTGTGAATCTACTGCTGTCTGACGTTCTGTTCCTCTGTTAATTGACATCTGGGTTTCCAGGTTTGGGCTGTTACAAATAAAGCTGCTATGAAAATTCACGTATAAATCTTTATACAGATACATGTTTCATTTCTCTTGTGTTAGTTCCTCTGAGTGCAATGCTTGAAGCATAGGGTAGGTAAATGTTTAACTTTTTAAGAAATTGCCAAACTGATGTGAAATGGTTATTTCTTTTCATATTTCCTACCATCAGTGTATGAGAGTTTCACTACCTTCCTGGTTCCTGTGAGGCATGGAAATTTCCATTTAATCTTTCCCTCCCTAGGGTCCATTTGCAAGAATGTAAAACCACTCAGATCCAGGCTTGAATCGGCTCCTCAGCAACAGTACCGCCACACATGCTGCCTATAATCTGGTCCCTTTGGTTTGGTGGTGTCCTATGTGACAAGCATCGCAGGAGGTGACAGAATGTTGGCCAGCTTTCTTACGCTGTCTATGTGAGGAGTAATCTTTCTCAATCCGTTTGGCCGTGTGGTTTCCTTACTAGACAAGGCTATGGCAGATTGGCAAGCAAAACCTAGCAGCTGCTACTGCAGAAAGATTACTTGACTGTTGGACACCCCCCTTTTCATTACCTGACTTCCTGCTTTCTTCATATCTAGTGAAGAAGGCATTGTTTGGCCTTACCTTTCAAAGTGACTTGTAACCAAAACCATTGTAAAAGGGGCTACCTATAACACTGGAAAAAACATATGTTGTAAAAGACTAAAATGTCTCTAAAGTAAAATGTAGTAGTGGTTTTCAAAGTGAGGAGGAGATTAGTAATATAGTACAATATAAATGTTGTGATAGTTGGGTCACCTGGGTGGTTCAGTTCGTTAAGCATCTGACTTGATTTTGGCTCAGGTCATGGTCTCACGGTTGTGAGATCGAGCCCTGTGTTGGGTTCTGCGCTGAGCATGGAACCTGCTCAAGATTCTTTCCTTCCCTCTGCCCTTCCTGCGCTCCTGCAGGTGCATGCTGTCTCTCAAAAACAGTAAAAGTAAACTTTAAAAGTTGTGATATGTGGAAACATTGGACGTCAAATACAATGGTTTGGTAAAGAACACAATATAGATAGGATAAATGATAATGCCTATACAACTAAAAAATAGCAGGGATGTCTGGCTGGCTCAATGGGTAGAGCACGTGACTCTTCATCTTAGGGTTGTGAGTTCAAGCTCCACATTGGGTGTAGAGCTTAATTTAAAAAAGAAAGAAATACCAGATGGAGGAAATCTCAAAAGCCGTTGGAAAGGGGTAAAGCCATTGGAAATTTTAAAGGAAAGCCAAACATCTTAAGACATGAAAGGAGAAGCAGGCCTATAGATAATGAAACACAAAGGAGGAGGAAGTTACTGAGGGAGACTGTTTACAAAAGGGAAACATGCTGTTTAGACCCATTGTAATAAGGAGAATCAAGGACAGGAGAAAGTTATGCACATGTACAGTAGGAAATATAGAGGAACAAGAATCTTTTTGAGCTCTTCCCTTTCCACAGTTAGTGAATGCAAATGTACCATGAAATAAATGTTTTTAAAATATTGAAGTAAAAATTATGTGTATCAAGAATATCCTCAGCCAGCCGACAGACACATGAAAAGATGCTCAACATCACTAATGAGTGATGTGCAAATCAAAACCACAATGAGCTATCACCGTACACCTGTCATAATGGCTAAAATCAGAAACGCAAAAGGCAACAAGTGTTGGCAAGGATGTAGAGGAGAAAGGCACCCTCCAGCACTCTTGGTGAGAATGGAAACTGGTGCAGCTGTTGTGGAAAACAATAGGAAGATTACAGAAAATATTAAAAGCGGGATTATCGTATGATCCAGTAATTCCACTACTGGGCATTTACTCAAAGAATACGAAAACATGAATTTGAAAAGATACAGGCATCCCTATGTTTATGGCAGCATTATTTACAATAGCCAAGATCTAGAAATAGCCAGTGTCCATCAATAGATGAATCAATAAAGATGTGTGTGTATACAGTGTGTGTATATGTATGTGTGTGTATGTACATCTTCAGGATGTATAGGAATGTTAGCCATAAAGAATGAAATGTCATTTGCAACAACATGGATGAATCTGAAGGGTATAATTCTAGGTGAAATAAGTCAGAGAAAAACAAATACCATTTAATTTCACTTATGGAATTTAAGAAACAAAACGGGTCCCTGGGTGGCTCAGTTGAGTAAGCATTCAACTCTTGATTTTGGCTCAGGTCATCATCTCATGACTCGTGAGTTCGTGCCCCGCATCAGGCTCTGCACTGACAGCACAGAGCCTGCTTGAGATTTTCTCTGCCCCTTCCCCTCTCACACGTGCTCTCACACACTCTGTATTTAATGTTTAAATAAAACATTAAAAAATATAGAGAACTGCTGAGTCACTGTATTGTACACCTGAAATTAATATAACACTGTACCTGAATTACACTGGAATTAAGTTAATTGAAAAAACCTTAAAATATTTTGAAAAGATAGAATGGGCTAAGTAGTAAATAAAGTT